TTGTTCTCCTCGTGCAGCGGTGTGCTTCTGCTGCCGTGGCGGCGATCCAGACAAACCGGTTTTCGGTGCGCACTCTTTATATTATTCTTATTATTATTATTATTACTATACCAGCCGACGCCGCCACCGCCGCCGCCGCCGCCTCGGATTCCTCGGATTCACCGTCGTCTCGGTGTATCGGTGTCTCTCGGCCCCGGACGGTCGTCGTCGTCGCTCGCGAGCGCGCGCGCGCGCGCGAGTCCCGACCAATTTACGCATTGTTTTTCATTATTATTATTTTCCTCTCGGGTCCGAAAAGATAGCGCGAATCGCGTCGCGCGATCGTCTGTCGCCGTCGCGAGTCGGGTCGGCTGCCGCAAATAAAAATATATTCTTTTCTTATTTTTCAATTTTAATTACCACCACTGGGAATATTATAATATATTATTATATAATGTGTGGCGGTGGCGAGGCACATATTATTATTATACGCATACACACCAATCGTCCATCTGCCTCAGTGCAGCGTGCAGCGTGCAGCGTGTGCGCCGTCTACGGGTCGACTTATCATCTATCTATCGTTTTATATGGGCGTGTGGGGGGGGGGGTACGCATAAAATATTGGCGTTCGAGTCGTAGGCGTTCGTTACAAGTGTGAGCGAGAGCTAGCGAGTGAGTAGGCACTAGGTATAGTTTTCTTCTCCGCGACTATTACTACTTAGCTGTGCGATGTATACCAGATTGTGCGTGTGTGCCCATATACATACACGACGGATTTCTTCAAGCTATTATTATTGTTATTTTTTTTTCCAATTCTAATTTGGAGGACGACGAGAAACGCTGAACGGCGCTCGCGCATATGTGTGTGTGTGTCCGTACGGAGTCTTGAGATAAAAACCACCACCGGTCGGTCACTTAAAATCCAATTCCATACACAATAATACGCATTATTATTAAACGAATGTTCATGTTTCACACGTATAATCGTCGATACAGATCGTCGTCATTTAACCGTGACTCTTGGGTTATTTTTTTTTACAAATTTGGTTTTAAACGACAAAATAACTCCACATATAATATTATATTATCATTAAAAACGATTGTAAATTAAAAAGTTCGTACGTAAGTAATCACACACTGCACTAATATTATATTAATTCTCTGTGTTACAAACGCTTGTCAAAACTAATCATTATTAAATATACCTTGGAAGTTATTAGTGGTTTACTGGTGTTGTAAAACTTTTGTATACGTTTTGCGTCAAATTGCACACCGATATTTTCGACGTGTGGGTGCAAAAAAATAATAATTATGTATTTTTACAATTTTAAACTATATTATTTGTTCTCTGATTTCAAAACCATATAGTCATTTTTACACGGATGTAAAGTGAAGAAATTAATTGTGTTTGGTATTTACAATAGATCCCACACAATTAATAATATCCCACCAAGGCCGTGTCGGAAGACTTCAAAAACATTTCACTTATTTTATAATATTATACCTTTACGATGCATTATATATTTATACGGCATCTATTCGTGTTTATAAAATGTCGTACTATACGTACCGCAACTTAAATCAAAATGTACGTATAGGATTTACGGTTGTTATAACAATATATCTATATCAGAGTACAATATTATATCCCAGGGAGCATAATATTTTAGAAAAATAAAAACGTCAAATCCTTAATTGACGTGGGAATGAATTAAAACCTGATTAATTTTATTCAATATTCATGGGCCGACCAAGTAGAATAATATCTTATGTCGTATATTTATTAGTTGTTTGTATATATACATATATATATATCGTATATTATGTATAGTATGTGTGACATAATATTGAATTATACCTATTCCGTCAATATTTTAAATTTTTATAAAAAAAAAAAAAACTTTATTTGTCACCGTTTTGAAGTTCTCACAAATGCAATAATAATGATGTTCGGTCTTAAAAGTTTTGATTCATCGAAATACGAAACAGTATTGAAGATAATAAAACAATATGGACGAAAAATGTTTTGGGTTTTGTTTCATGTAGGCCGAACAATGAAAATGAAAAAATGTCAACGTAAATTGTTTCTTGCAACGTCAGTAATATGATGTGTATTATATTGCACGATCTCGGGTACCAACCACACACATTTATTAGCCATATTAATGCCGTAAAAACTAACCATTGTGTGTGATGTGTAGTACGTTTAACTCTGTGGAATCGCGTTAAGGGGAGAGATTATTCCGTTTTATATTATTTTTTTTTCATATCCATCTATAACTCGCGCACCCTTTAAAACGTCACGTCCGAATCGATATCGACGCGCATCACTTACTACTGCCTGCCGCAGCAGCAGTAACAGCAACAGCAGCCGCCGCGCCGTCAATCGCGACTGCGGGACACAAAAGGAAGAAGAGTCTATGTATTAGTATTATTATTATATATATATTATACACCTAACCCTCCCCCCACGCGGTGATGCACGGCACTAACCTGGACCGCGGGGTGGGATGTAGTCCTCATAATAATAATACGGAAAAAAATCTGTGAAACCACCACCGTAAAAAAAAAAACCAAAAAGAACCAAATCGCCAGAACGACGAAATCCCATCAAACCCGCGTAATGGTATTTTCAAACGGAGCGTTATTAACGCGGAGGATATTGTATTATTATTATTATTATTATTATTATACAATCGATGGAAACATATTTTTCGCCTGGCCGAGCGCGTTCATTTTATATCATATATCTGATCGACGTGCGTGCGCCTGCACATATAGCTAGGTACATAGGTAGTCGTCTACTCGCGTTCTGATCGGTATATGGCCACATATACACATAAATATGTCTTATTATATAATTTTTTTTTCTATGCGCTAGAAAATAATTGTTAATTATTTATACGTATAATATTATGTATAAGATACAGAGGGAGGGTGTAAGCAGCGATGATGACGTGTGTGTGTGTGTGTGTGTGTGTGAGTACGAACGCGCGTAAAGAAGATTGTCGTCTACCGATAAAAAATAATAATAAAAAAAAAAAAACCGAAGCATTTGTCAAGTACTCCGGTGAACTCGGTTGACCCCACTTCACCGCCGCCCTGCCACACGGAGACCCATAAATCACGGACGCCATACCGCCCGCGCGACCGTTCCAGTTTAATGAGTTTGTTATTATTTTAGTCGCATTGTATATTATATCGTCGCGCGTGTGCCTTATAAGCGGATAAGTCGTCGAACACCACCGGTCAGCAGTCGACGTGTGTTTATACGAGAAATACTAGAAAGAGAGAGAAATAGTAATCCTATTCCTCCTCATCCTGGTTAGGTTTTCTGGGATCAGGCGGGGGGAGGGGGTGAGTACACAAAGTCTGCCGTTCCTTTTTTCCTTTTTCTGCCATTCTTTCACATAATGTATTAAAATTCAACGATGAGTGCAATTTAAAACATGCACACGCTGCACAAATATGTGTATAGTCACCGACCAGTTTGAACATGCCATTATATTTTTTGTACATTATTTTAACGGTATATTATAATATGACGGACGATGGTAACATTGCATCTGCTGCAGCGCTGTTGACAAACCGCAATCACTGCAGGTAATTCCAAGTCTCCGGGTGGCCTGTCTATGCGTCTTCTTCGACGTTCACTGCCGAGTCCAATCTGATTCAGCCAACACAATATTAGACCTTTGTTATCATTCGTATTATTATATGTTATATGGTTTACTAGCTCTGACTGTATAGAGTACAAGATAACCTGGACGACCGTTCCCGGTACAAGGAGTAGGTGTGGTTCTACTGTGGATATAGTTAACAGAATATTTTGTAATTTTATAGATAATACATAAAAATGTTGCCCTTTGAAGTAGAAAGAATAATAGTGGTCCTTGTACATTTAGTAGAGTGGTGATGTTTTTATGAAGCTTGCCTGTGAGTTTCAATAACTCAAGCAGCCACTGTTACGTATAATATGTGTAATAAAATCTTTGGTCAGCAATCACCGCGGTCGTCGTCTGCCGACTTTCTACGCACAATGGATATTGTACTCGTTTCCACTGAAGGGCTTCTGATCAAAAACTCGTGAATTATTTCTGACCACTGTAGAATGAGTTTCGGCGCGAACAAACACAATTCATGCGCGGAATCTCAAGTACCTATTACATAAGTATTATGGGACATTATTACATCTATTATAAATTATAATACGCAATTATACGACCAACCTATACCTAATAAACCTAATATACCTAATAATAATATATGATGATAATGATAGTCGGGCGCGGCTGGTGACGACGAAGACGACGGTCGGTCTTACAGTGTGCCGCGCATAAACGACGGCTTTTATTGGACAATCGTCTTTTATGGGCGGAAAACAAAAAGTACAAAAATGTCAACATCGGCAGCTCGGAAGGACACTAATTGGAAACTAGATGGACAGTTTTGCGCGAGGGGCGACGACGGCGGCGGCGGCGGCAGATGCCGAAGATAACGTCAGCGGAACAATGGGGGGGACGGAGCAAAAAAAATGTATAATATAATAACTATAATAAACGGGACCTTTCGATGGTGACTTTAGAAGTCATTATCAAACGCACCACACTGCATACACATACCTATATGCGATCTCGCGGCACTATAGGTAATATTATTATTATTGCCCGTAATATACGATTGCGCAGACCGGAGCAATAATAATAATAATAATAATAATAATAATAATAATAATAATAATGACAACGCTCAGCCCCGTCGCCGGTGCACTTGTCAACTGTGTGCATGTGCAGTATATAATATTATTCTATATATTATTATAATATTATAATGATATTGTTGTGTAAATGTGCAGCGATCTCCGTATACAATAATTGTGTGCATATAATTGTCACGTGATACAATGACGTTATTTTTTACGCGGTACCTATATATTCGAATTGTGTTGTAGAAGCGCCCAAGTGTATTGTATATTATGTTATGTGCGTGTGTATAATATTCGTTTGTTTGTGTGTCCGCAGGAAAGAAAAACGTTCAGCAATGAGGAGGAGGTAGCCGTCGCCACTAACCGTCGCAGCCGCCGCCACTGCCGTCATGCACAAGTATCACCAACACCACTGCGACGACAGCAGCCATCACCACCATCGGCACAACCACCATCATCACCTCAACCGTCACCACCGATGCTGTCTCGCCGCGGTGTTTCTGCTGCTGGCCGTCGCGATCGTCAGCCCCGGACGAGCCGAACACGGTAAGCACACCACCAGCATTGTATTTTTTTTTTAGATGTAGGCGCACGAATAGTGTCTAATAACGCACCAATGGCGGCATTTTATATTATGATTTTATTGTATTGTATCGTCGGGCGCTGTGCTTTCTACAACACCAATATCAACCGTTATTGTTGTGTTTCGGATCGGAAATGGCCGACATATGGCACACTAGAAAAACCCACTCGACTATAACTCGTGATACTTACAATATTATAATATAATAATATATTATATTGTAGTATAGGTAGGCAATAAGTATCGTGTTTCGATGACACATACCCGCCCACCGGTGCAGTGTTCCTCTCCACCGCGTTCAGCCCCTTGTCGAGTCGTCCCTGCAACAGCAGCGCCAAGACCATAGCATAGTACTTACCTACATCCGATTAAAATGTAATGTATTACGTTTTTAATGTGGCGAATTATTGTGTTTTCGGTGTACGCGGTAAGACACTAAATACGCGACGCAGATATATTTACGATAGCCCGCGATCGTTGTATCCAAATATTCGTATTTTTTTCTTTTCATTTTTTTTTTTTATACCTAACCGATTTATCGCCACCGCCATCACTCCTGCTCCCGTGTACGGCGTTCATTTGTTTTGTTAGTGTTTTACAAATATTAGTTTAATACTTGCCGACTTGGGAAAGTATATGCACGGAAATATACTCAGCGGTTCCCATAAAAAAAATACGTATCCGGTCGTTAAAATGTCACGTGTCTCACGTAAAAACACGTCTCCAACGGTACACTCGTAAATTACCGCATCGTGGTGTGTTCGTGTATAATGTATATACAGCACTGTGTACTTTATGGGCTATTTTTTTTTTAATTTTAAAATCAGAATCGATCGTAGTCAAGTTTTAATGTTTTACACGTATTCTGTTTTAGACTATTACTACACGGAATAATTAATAGAATACTTGTCATGTAAATATTATTCATCGACTTTTATTTAAATACTGAATGTGACATTATAAACATTTCGTCATGAGTTTTTATTTTTTTATTAAATTTTTTATTTTTTAATCTATTTTTTTTTTTTTAATTTTTTATTTTTTACCTACATTATTCTAATAACTCTATCTTTGAGTTCGGTCATATATGATTATCGAAATAACTGCAGTGCAGTGTCATTTTAATAGTTTAGGTATATAATAATTGGGACGTAACCGAAAGTTACCGAGCGTATATTTTATGTTTTTTAATTCTCTATAGTGTGTATTTAGTTAGTATTTTATATAAACTGAATTACGGTGTAACAATATTGTTATAAACTTAAAAACTATTTCACAATTTTTTTTGTTCTGGAATCTGAACAATGCTCTGAAAACATTAGTCACCCTCTCCCGGCAAATTTGCATTCGTATTTTATATAGTATATAACTATTATACACTTCTAATATATATATTTTTATCGTAAAAACTTCCAACTCTCATTTTCTCTCCAGTATCCACTAACCATAATAGCTTCCTAGTCTATAGACTATACCCACTATTTTCATATCGCTCGGTGCGTACTGCACTGTCTATATAGTTTAATCTTGATTTCTGATTCGTAATGTAGAATGAGGGGGGCGCCAAAGTCGTGTGTATATACGGCACCAAAACACATTATATTACTTAATTCGTATCTTAATGTTTTCATCGTCCATATTTCTGCACTGTGAATATCCGATATTGAATATTGTATTATAAATTAAAATATCCTACTCTATATTAATATATATGTTTGTTACATTCGCAATGGGCTATGTCCAATTTTAATACTTCCACACTCCCAAATAACTTGTAAAATGTATTTGCTTTCACGAGACTTTATATTTTAATAATTTTTAATAATAATACTGACACGCGAGATTTGATTACGTCCACGTTGAACATTTTTTTTTTTAGAAGTTTTTTCCAGACATATTTCGGTATACGACTTTCACTATAGTGCTATTTCAAGAGTAGCTCATCACACACGTCATCGGTTTGTCTGACGTGAACGATATATTTTTGTGGTCGGTCGCTGCGAATAAAAGTCTTTCTCTAAAACGTTGAACTTATCTTTTTTTTCACACACACAAACATTTGTATGATTAAACGACGACATGCAGCGTGCGTCCCCGAAATTGAAATTCCTGTTTTATATATACGCGACGACAACGCACTGAGAAAAAGCGATCGAAACATCTACATAATATATTATTCCGTCTAGACTACCTATTTTAAGTCATAATTTTATACTACAGTAGATACTAGATATCCATCGTAACCGTTACTGAATTTTTATTTTTTACCATATGCGTTCACACATATAGGAGGTACTTACGGCTACTATACGGCCATACCACAACAACTGTACCGCTATTACTTATACGTACACGCGTTATTATTGTATTTTTAACACACACACACAAACAAACGCGCGTATTAATCTTTCATTTTCTATGCACACAACAACGACGGCGCACGGGCGACGGCCAATCATCGCAGTAGGAACGAATTTCGTGCGCGCATTCTTAAATCAACATGCCCGGAGACTCCCCGGGGCCTTTTCCCGCACGACCGTCCTCCACCCCGCCGCCACCTTCCGGTTTTCGTGTACCCGCCACCGCCGGAGCGGTCTGTAAACGCGCGTGACGTTCTCGATATTATTATATTATTCTCTCTCGGCGTCTCGCGGTCCGTATCATTTTATGGAGCCGTTTAAAAACAAAACAAAACTATATAAATAACGTATAAGGTACACACGAGGTAATTTAACATATTTCTCCTCTACCTATATATTATAATACATATACTCGTATATATTACATATACAATGTGCACACATACAGATACACACACACACACACACACACACGCACACGCACACGCACACGCGCACACACAACCTGACATACGAGTGAAACCAACACCATTATCGTCTAGATATATGTATACACCGGACTCTTCTCTATGTACTTGCTATTATATTGTATAACTTTGGTATATAACCTTCATTGGTCGAAACCGTTCAACTCGTTCCAATGTATTACATCAGATATAGATATACATTTATATATGCGGAAATTTCGGTGCGGGCACCCTCCCGCTAAGACTTAACCCCAGTGACTCTATGTATGTATATGATACTTTATTATGTATTGTGTGTATGAATATATGTAACATATGTGTATATTTGTGACGGGGTCGTCTGTAATGTATATATATATAATGTATTATGTATAATGTATATACAATGTGTACAATAGCACTGTGTAGCTGGCGAGCAATAACTTTTACGACGTCCATTACGCTTTGATGGGCGAAACCACGAAACGCTTCTAATGTGTCCATCATTCTTGTTGCCGCTGTGCCAGTAGAGGCTTTCCGGGGGACCAAAAAAAAGTCGCCAACATTGCTGCACATGGGCAAATGGGTCGTAAATGAGATATATTGAACGTAATCGGTGTCTTGAAACACTACGCGAACTATCAACTTTATATATATATATATTATATATGTATATATATTATATATATATTGCGATTTCACCCGAAGCTTTAATATATATAAGTATGCGCAAAGGGAGTGGGGAGGAGGTGATTTCAAAAAACGTCGTGAGGAAAATATGTCCCTCCGATCTGTACAGGATCGTGGTAACAGCTTTTTAAACCGTTACGGCTACCATCCATAACGCTAAATGCGTTCAATAAACGTTTTTCTACTCTCGTTTTTGCCAACGCTTTATATATATATATATATATATATATATTTGTTTTGTTTTTTCGGTTTTTTATGAGCACTCACGACTACGGATTTTTAAAAATCGCTTAGAAATGAAACAAATACATATTTTTTTTGTTCTGATATTATTTTTTTGTCGAATAAATCATTTCAAGCGTCCATTGCCACGGGACTTTTAGAACTTAAAACCCGGCTTAACTCGTACATACACACTTACATAACTGTCAAACATATATACACCAGTGTCCAGGAAATATATAGTTTTGTTTTGTTTTGGAATCCATCATACACGTGCTGTGTACACATAAACGGCGGTAGTCTTCTTGGAAAACCATAATAAATTCCAAAATAATCAAACATGCGTACAAATTACAAACGAATTGTTTGCCCAGAACAAATAATAATTAAACCCTGAATGGACTAGAGGTGTATTAAATAAATGTTCATCACGCGTGTCCCGGGAAAAACTTGACGTTGACGCGTTTTTCGATTATTATTACACCATCACATAAGCTAAGCAGCTAAAGAAAAACATACACATTAAAATCGTATAAGTGCATAGAATATACATATACTTTATTAATATACACGTAACCGGGCCGCCCGTGGGAGTAGAAAACGTTTATTACGCCTGCATATCGCGTAGAAGAGATGTAGCTAGTGTATCCTCATTGTTTATTCATACGTTCCTCTCGACTCTCTCGACAATCCGTTTATTGTTTTATTATTTTAATTCTGGACGACGGCGGCGACGTCGACGGCAACAAGCACGTATGTATAGAAACAAATAACGAAACGGATTGAACTCCCACGAGACTCCAATTAAAAAAATTTAAAACTAAATACAAAACGACTCGAAAATACGGACGTGAGAAAAAGATTTTTTAAGAAACGGCCTTTCGGTTGACTATATGCATAACATGCTCTCCCAACACCACCACCACCAAATTAATAATGGAAATGCAGATTTTAGCCTCCGGGTCGAGCTAGTATAGGATTTCAGCGAAGAAAACTTATAAGTGGTCCAAAAACGCGTTGTTTTGACCTAACGTTGTGTGCCTCCTTACGATGACAATTTCGCACAGAGAAACAGAACTCGATTGAAAAAGGGAGAATCACACAGGTCCACTACACGTACCTATGCGAGTATACTTTCTAGCCACGATTCGTATACCTTATCCCGTAGGGCGGCCGTAGCGCATTGTTGTATTTTCGTATACATCATCACACGAGACAACCTCTAGACGTCACCGCCTACCCATT